CCCCCCCAATAAATAAATAAACTTTAAAAAGCCCACTTCTTTACACGATTTCCGGAGTGAGAGCGTCTTTCCGTGGGCCGAGGGCACTGTCCTGACGGCCTTTGTCCGCCCACAGGAGCTGGAGCTGCAGGACAACCTGGACGTTATCATCTTCTCGGACCATGGGATGACTGACATTTTCTGGATGGACAGAGTGATCGAGCTGGACAAGTACGTGAGCCTGAGTGACCTGCAGCGAGTGAAGGACCGAGGGCCCGTCGTGAGCCTCTGGCCAGCCCCCGGGAAGCACTCCGAGGCAAGGAAGCGCCGGCCGTGGGCGGAAGGGCGGGGGCCGTGGGTGGAAGGACGGGCGGGTCCCATGAGGGGAAGGGAGAGCTCCACGCCCTTCTTCACCGTCGCTCTGGGCCCCACCTTCGCCCCGTGGCCCTCGTGCTGAGGTAGAGCCGAGCCAGGAGCTGGGCCTCCGGTGGCCGTGCCACTCGACCTCTGCCCAGTGGCTCGCCCTCCTGCGTCTGCCTTCTCTGAAGCGGGCACGATGGCACGTGCCGCACGCCAAGTCGGTGGAAATTCAAGGAGGCGAGGGGTGTGCAGTGCTTAGCGCGTTAAGCCCTCCGCCCTCTGCCAGGGCTGTTTTATGACTGGCCAAGACGCAGCACTTCCCAGGCCACCTTGGGGGACAGCGGATGCGTGCAGAGAACGCTCTTTCTCTGGAACAAAGCTGCCAGTCTGATCTGTTTTCACCAGGGACGTGGAGATAAGGATGTGATGAACGAGCAGAGGCCGAGGCCCTGTGTGCCACGGGTCAGCTCCTTATCCAAGGAGCCACACTGCTTGGGTGCAGATCCCAGCCCTGGCGCAGACTGCTGTCCCGCGGCCCCCCTGACCTGGCCCCGCTGCAGCCTCTGTGTCCGGGCCCATGGTGGTGTCGTCACAGCCGCCTCCCGGGCTGCTGCAAAACACACGGAAGCAGGCTGCACCCACCCCAGGGACGACGTACATGTCACTTGTTACGGCGATCACCATCACGAGGGGTCGTTCTCAGGGGGGCGTGTTGAGGCCCCACAGCGTGCTCCCCACAGGCACCGCCCTCCAGGAGCTCAGCACCCAGAGAGGACTGGACTTCTCCTTACCCTGCTCCGCAGTCATTATCTGGCAGTTCTTGCTAAATCACGATGAGAAAGTGAGGAGCAAGCGGAACCGTTGGCCGACTGCTTTGCCCCACGTCGCCCTAGTCCCCTTAAGTGTACGCGTTGGGGCTTCTGCCCGCTCCCAGGGAGAACTTCCTGCTCTGTACCCGGCAGCGGATCTCATCCTCCGGGGAGGCTGGGACCGCTGCCGGTGGAGGTGCCAGGAACAGGCATTGGGCGGGCCCCGGTGCCTCCGCCCACGGCAGGGACGTACTTGGCGATGGACGGTCATCAGTATCGATGGAGCACTGCGCACAGCGGGCCGGGGTCTCTCCGCTGGGCCCCTTGGTCCCCTGCCACATACACGCCCACTATCTGTCTGTCTGGGGGTTGCCAACACCGTCCCCAACAATGCCACCCCTCTCCAGCCTTGTCCCGTTTCCTAGGTGGACGCCCCGTTTTGTCAAGTTCCGTGCGCCGGAGGCGGAGGTGCCCAGCCGGTTTGCCGTGTCCGCACGAGCTCCCTCGGTCTGAAGCTGTGACACGTGCTCCACACACTGGCAGGTCCCACAGCAAACGGCTTCTTGCGAGGAAGTTCTGCTTTCTTGGCAAGGAGGAGCATCCGTAGCTCCCATCTGGCGCCCAGGGACGTGCCGCCCCCAGAACGCTTGCGCGTCGGCAGCTTGCGGGGCCGGGAACAGCTTCTTCCAGCGCGGCGTTCGAGCCAGGCAGTGCGAGCCGCCTGAAGCAGTTGGTGGATCATTTGCGAGTGGGGGCTGTGTTTGGGTGACGGCTTGTCACGTGATGGACACAACAGTTTGCGAGTTCTGCTGTATGTCATCAGATTTTTCGCTTATCCCAAATCTGTGTGCAAACGCAACCACTTTCCTTAAGAACCGTGGCTTTTCTCCAGTAGGAAGTCAAGTGGGGTCATCAGAAACCCTCTGCTAAACAGCCTGAAGGCTAATTATACTCCAGATTTGCGTTGATAAACTCAATTCTATATTCAGTTCTGCCCAGGAATATATGCCCGACTTGGCAAAGGGCCAACAAGTCCAGCTCAACCCGTTGATTTGGATGTTAGCCATAAACGTTTCAGCTGCTGCTAAATATTGGAAATATGTACACAGTTTACACCCTCATCATGACATTAGTAGCGTAGTGAATGGCAGACAATCACTAGTACTTTCAAGATTCAGGTGGAGGTAAGACATGCTCTAGGTCAAGTCAAAGAACAAATCCTCTTTCTTTGATCTTAGTGGTATTTAACATCAAGCAGACCAATTCCTCACTTGCCTTTTAATTTTACTATAGAGTTTTGGACATACACAAGTTTTGTAATTTGTGTATTAATTATTGAGTAGGCAAATTAGTATAAAATTATTATAAAATATCAAAGTATAAAGGGGCACCTTATGTTCACATGACCACTGCTCATGGTATCTCCTGTATGTCTTCCCAAGCCCCATCACCCTTTTTTTGCCCCCTCAGAGGAAACTCCTCTCTTAAATTATAAGGTGTCATTTCCTTAATTCTCTGTGGTTTTACCATAGATTTCTTTAGTTTTAAAGTTATTCGGAGTTCAGGTAATAATAACAGTCCTGTCTGTATTCATCTGCAGCTTGCTTTATTTTCTCAAACTGAGATCCCCGAGACATCTCCAGGTGTTCTATGTAGCTACAATCCATCCATCTTCGTTGCTGTATAGTATTCCACTGCAGACCCACACCTCCATTCATTTTCTCCCTTCTCCTGTCACTGGCCATTTGGGCTGTTCCAGTCTGCAGCATAAATCCCTCTTCCTGTCTACAGGTGCACAATTATGAAGCGTTGTCACTAGATCTCTAGAGCTAACTTGGCAGGTGGGGGGTATGTGATCTTCAGCCTTACTAAATAAAGTCACCTTGTTTTCTGAGACGTACAGAAGTTTCTCATTTTTATGCAGTCAGACCTGTCAAGTGTTTTGGTAATTTCTTTCTCTGGTCTATAAAGTTCTCCCTCTCCCCCAGGTCCAGTAGATACTCACATGGAGTTAAGAGAGAGAATGCAAAACTGGCCATTCTTGTTATCTTTGCAGGTATATAACAAGCTGAGAGTGGTGGAACACATGACCGTCTACGAGAAAGAAGCCATACCCAGCAGGTTCTATTACAAGAAAGGGAAATTCGTCTCTCCTTTGACCTTAGTGGCTGATGAAGGGTGGTTCATAACTGAGGTAATTATAAAATTATGGCACTATGTTCATTAGACAAATTCTATCAAACAGCTGACGGTAAATAATTACTCAGCTTTTGCACTTAAAATGTTTTGTTTTCACTTAAGTGTCCTTCATGGCATTACTTTAGAGACTCCAAAGTCTTGGTCAGGTGACTTTGTGGACACAAACCGTAGACTTGGACCCAGAGGCACATTTAGACTTCCTGGCTCCAGACTTGCTATATTTTAACAAACTAGCCTTAACTCAATTACCCAGGCTTGCACTGTAACCTATTCGGTTTAAAGCAGAACGATTACTGTGAACCAAAGCAATCGCTTTAGGGCGGTGAAGACCAAGGAGGGGCTCAGCTTTGCTTTCTCCTTTAAGGGAAATGTTCGGCAAACAAAACTCCACAGATCCAGGTCCCCAGTTGGCCAACTTGATTTTACCGAGGAGATGACCTTGCCTTTGGGGTCCAAACTCTGATTGCCTCGTGCACGAATGACTTCAGCAGTTCCTGCTCGCTGGCCTGGACTGCAAGCTCTCCAGGCTCTGGGATCAGCTTCTGATCTCGGGCCAGTGTGGGAAGGCTCTGGCCTTCAGGGAAACCAAGGTCAAGACGTGTCTAGAATCAGTTCGTGAAGAGGGTGTGCGTGGGTTACCACAGACATTGAGTTTGAGGATGGCTTGCAGACAGCCCAGACTGCAGGGCAAAAGAGACTGGCAGGTGTTGGCACATGGGAGCCGTTGGTTGACATCAGTGAAGTATGAGGACGCACGACTAGAGTTACCTGCCGGAGAGAGGGCAGGCGGTGATCAGCAGAAACGCCGGTCAGGCAAATGGGTGGAGGTCTAGGGACCTAGGTGTGGGAAAATGGGGGTTCCCTGGCATGAAAATCGGTGACTCAGGAGGACTGAGTCATTCCTGTGTGCTCTCAAAGAGAAGCATCTGGTCGCCGAGGAAACAAAACAGACCCAGTTAGAGATGTCAGTCTGCACGGTCCTGAGGCCAAGCTGGGCTGTCTAATCACACTTTGGCTTCCACACCATGTGATTGTAGAAGTTTCCAAGAAGGTCCCTCTACCTCCTCCTGCTCCCCTCCTCTGGGAACCAAAATGCTTCTTTCTTCACTTTATCACACCGTTTGACATTTACCTGGAGCGCGATTCTTCTAGGCTTCTGGCATTTTCATTTGTAATGATTTTCTCGCAGCTTTGCATTGAACACACATGCAGCCAATTGGGTCAGCTGGGTGGGTGCCTGCACGACTTTATTCCGTAAAGCCAACTTGGCAAGCCACTCACAAGAGCTTACAGTTTGAAACTCTCTCAATTTAGGAAATTCTGGTGGAATTGCTGAGTTTTTCAAACAAAGAGATGATGACGGTCCATCTGGTTATCTGTCACACGTGTCTTTGCATGATTATTTGCATCTGTTGTTTACCTTCTCATAGTTAGCTGAAGGCAAGGGCACTGAGAAGCTGGCTCATGGTAGGGAGGGATTACCGAGGTGATCTGGAGTAATTTACGGGAAGACAGTCTTAGTGGGAAGAGTGGGGAAGCCGGAGACACTGCCCAACTGCCGAGGTACCGTCGCAATTCCAATGGGGGAGGCTCTGAGCCCCTCCAGCAGGGTAGGATGGGCAACAGTGAAGCTGCTCTAGCTGTAATTGCTTTCTAGAAGGTGCGCATCGTGGCAGTAGCACATCCAGCAGGCAGATGCACGTTTCTTCAGTGAGTGACTAAAACATAGCGATGGGGGGACCTGGAGGTATCGGCACGATGCTCTTGGTTATAAGCCACAGACTGCTTGAATAACTGTGCCTTAACTAGTAAAGACTTCCTACCTCACATAACGGGAAGTCTGGAGGTAGGAGGTTCTAGGGTTGGCTCATCCAGCAGCTCAATCATGTCCATCATATCAAGGCCCCGAGTCAGCTCTTCTGTGGTTCTTTTGGCTTTCCCTTCAGGGTCACAAGACGGCTGCCACAGCCCCGAGCATCACATCCCTGCAGGTTCTCCCAAAGCAGGAAAGAAGGGGTGTAGCTTCTTGTATGTCTCCTACTTTTATTAGGGAGCAAAAAATACATCCCAGAATCAGAGGCAGATACTGGTTTCATGGGACTCTCACAGTTATAAAATTTGGGGGGGGTGTCTCTCTTTAAGAAAAGAATACATAATTATAAATGTAAAATTAGGTGTAGGGACTTGGAAGAAACCCACGAGAGTGAGAAGCCTTGATGCTTAAGCTTCTTTAACTGCACTGTACATCCGCTTCTGCCCAGACCCCACTAGCAAGCCTCCCCCTGGGTCTCATCCATCAACTCAGCAGCGTGGCTAGAAAATTCCTGCCTTGAGTCCGCTTTGGTCCTGAGGTCTAACATATGCTGCAGCGTGGACCAGGGCACCACAGTCGCAAGACAGAAGTGATACAGAGGCTCTGGAATGAGGCGCACGAGTCCCTGAAACTTAGATCACAAGGAAGAGGAGATGAGAGGAGAATGAGGACAAACTTGGTGACTAGCTGGCGGTGGCCTGCTCACAAAGCCCGGTGACAAATCTGATGGGGCCTCATCACCGCCTCCCCGACCTCCCAACACCCCTCCCCTCTGCACTGAGGGTCCAGGTATCTGCTCTTCTGCAGGAAGCCGGTCAAATCACGTGTCTTCTGAGGGCGAGCCACATGGTAATTATGCACCATATTGCATACTATGTTACATTATGTTATATTTTGTACATATCACATGATTACACACATACGCATACATATGTTTGTGTAAATCAGAACTAAATCAGTTAACGGGCCACCCAGTGTTTCACTGTATGCTTTTAAGAAGTGGCGCAGTCGGTTAAGCGTCCGACTTCAGCCAGGCCACGATCTCACAGTCCGTGAGTTCGAGCCCCGCGTCGGGCTCTGGGCGGATGGCTCGGAGCCTGGAGCCTGCTTCCGATTCTGTGTCTCCCTCTCTCTCTGCCCCTCCCCCGTTCATGCTCTGTCTCTCTCTGTCCCAAAAATAAATAAACGTTGAAAAAAAAAAAAAAAAAAAAAGAAGTGGGGGAAGAAGCCACAAGAACAGAAAGGAAGAATGTCTAACGATGGACAGTCGCTTGAAAACCTTTTTGAAAAATACAGAATTATTTCCAAAAGGAAATTTGAGATGATTTTTTAAATATTTTGAAGCAGAGAGTTTTTTTGTTTTGTTTTGTTTTTTTAAGAATGAAATCGGAAGTAAGATAAACAGGATGTGAAAAAAAAAGATCCTGGAAAGATTAGTGTTGACCCACCAAATACAGGGACCATCACTGTTAACTCACCCAGCTTTAATCAGTACTGCGGTCAGGAATCGACATTGACCACGCCTGGTTCACTAGAAACTTTACAACGAGTCCTCCCCCACAGTTTCAAGGACATGAATACAGTCATTGCACCTTTTGCAGGTAATAAACCCATGAAGAAAGATTTCTTCTTAAAATTTTGGTCAACAACAATAATAACAGTTATCTTTTTATTTTTTTTTTTTTTTAATTTTTTTCAACGTTTATTTATTTTTGGGACAGAGAGAGAGACAGAGCATGAACGGGGGAGGGGCAGAGAGAGAGGGAGACACAGAATCGGAAGCAGGCTCCAGGCTCTGAGCCATCAGCCCAGAGCCCGACGCGGGGCTCAAACTCACAGACCGCGAGATCGTGACCTGAGCTGAAGTCGGACGCTTAACCGACTGCGCCACCCAGGCGCCCCAATAATAACAGTTATCTTGAATGAAGTACCTCCTGGCTACTGCGTCTGTCCCTCCCGATGAGTCTGCGTAGAGGATATTGTTAGTCCTGAAAGTAACGCACCACAACATAACGTGGGACACTAACGTCACTCTAGCTTCCTAGCAGCCAGCTCAGAGATGGTGGCACACTCAGTTACCTTAGTGTGACTTACAGTGTCTGTGAGTAACGTAAAAACATGAAATGTTTCCCTGGCAAATCATGGTCGTCCCTGAGTCCTGAAAGAAATTAGATGTCTTTCAGTGACTCCTTTTTGTACCTCAGTTTCCTAGATTGAATGAATGCCTTCATTTTACTCCCCTCCTTGAATTTGTGGATGTTTGTCCCAAGACTCACAGGTGAAAATTAGAATTTCTGATTCTCCCTTGATAGAACATAGGGTTTTATCTCTTTGTTTTCTGAAAAACCTTAAAGACGCATGTCCATCCGTTTCCTTGTTGTCTTAGACTTTCTTCTGTTACACCTTTCTGTTGTTTGTTACACTTCCTTGACTGCAGAGAATCGAAAAACTCCATTCTGTATCTTTGCTCCTGCTCAGAGCTGGGCTGTCGCTCTCCCCACGTGGTAAAAGAACGTTGTGTTTTGCTCCGTCACCTGCACGGCAGCGCGGAGGACAGATGATGACGTTTCTGAGCTAAACCCCACTTGGCGTCTGCAGCAGGACCAGCTTCTCAGCCCAGAAAGCCGTCTCCCTGGCTCTGGGTGTGGATAGCAGAGGAGTCTTTTTTCTGGTTTAGACACGATTAGAAAAACAGCTGAGTCAGGACGATTGGTGCTGGTTGGGGCCAGTAAAATAGAGCCGCATCTCCCCATCCTGCCTGTCTTTGGCCACCATGCCGCAACATGCAAGATTTGGCTTCCCTGGCGACACTGCCCCTCCCATGTAAACACCAACTTTTTGCTACCGATGTAAGCCTTGCAGACTCTAAGGCAGCTGCTCTAACGGGAAGACTTAACTGAGCTCATTTTTTTAACGGTCACTTAGAGAGCTGTCACTGAAAAAGATAAAGACAGGGGAACAGATTTAATTTGTCACCTGGAATTGCACAATTACCCAGTGTGACTGCTGTTGCTGCAGCAGAAAAGCAAGCTCCCTGGCCAGTGGCTCCCCGTAGCTTGCTTCTGCTCCTGCATTCTTCAATATCTGGACTGGATTTCCGACTACAGCCAGTCCTTTCCCCGGCTCTCCTTCTGCAAGGGCGGCAGAGGACCGACTAAACACGAAGAGGAGAAAAATCCAGG